TATTGTATGCGATTTACTTCGTGTTTGTGAATGTGATTTTGACCAATAAATGAAATTTAATTTGGTAATTATGCTTATTAGCCAATAAAAACACATGACACTGATAGTTTAGGCCAATCGTGCACGTTTCTTGCGACAGCGTTACTTGTGGTAAGGACGACAGTAGTATCATGACAATAATACTAAGACCAGGCAAGGTTGAGTAGTACTACGTACAGTAGTAGTACATTGCTACTTTCCGTGCTAACAGTCTATGGAACGTTAGAACCATGCTACACCAGACGGACTGTGTAACGGTATCCGTTAATTAGTGTAAGATGTCCTGTGATTGGACAGGCATGTCGCAAAGGTGAAACGCCGCCGCAATTCGAAACTCACAGAGCATGGCCACGACGTCCATGTGTCACATGAGCGGTAGGCACAGCACGACCACCAACGAAGCCATTTCATACAGGATTGCACTAACGTTATCTCGTTGATCCGATCGCTAGTACATATGGAGCTAGCTGTATAGAACGGTGCTAACGTAGTGAATGGGCAACAACGCTGTGGCTACATGAAGGCTATAGCTACCACCTGCCATCGTAGCCAGCATTCAGCTTGAAAACACAGTGTATCTGTCATCGTCGTAGGTGGTAGTATCACTCGACATGGCCGTGCAGCATAGTCCGTGGAATGTATACAATCGATTGCATTTCAAGGTACTGGCAGAAATCGATTTCGAAAGAGTTGTTCATTTTCCAACTTGGCTCAACCTTGGCACTGCTTTTTCTTTCTTCGCCCCATGAGCATCCAACCCCCTCCCGTGCCCACGACCGGCACGGCCACATACGTGTTTGATCCGTGGATGACTGGCGGCGTGTCTGGCTCCATCATCACGGACGTCGGTGCAGTGTCCACGTCCATCAAGGCGGACTTGGACTTGACCGATGCCGACTGGGCCGCGCTAACCGCGTTCGACGGCAACTGCACCAACGTCGCCGTGACCGACTTTGCGTGGCACATCCATACCCAGTGGAACAACAACCAGAACCACTCGTCGGGGCTCACAAACGATTGTGCGATCGCCAACACGGCCAACCATTTCGACCCCAACTTTGCATGTGGCCCCAACTCGGACAATATCAAGTCGCGTCAATGCGCGAACAAAACGTACGGATGCAACGCGACGTTGTATGCCAACAACCCCGACGTGTGCGAAAAGGGCGACTTGTCCGGCAAGCTCGGCAAGATGAAGGCTGTCAACGGCAAGATAGCCGCGACGTGGATCGACAAGGGCAACTATCCGACCGTGGCCGAGCACAAGATCACGTGGAACATCGTGCTGCATGCCGTCTGCGGCACGGCCACCCCTCGCTTTGTCTGCGCTAAGATCGACACGCTTTCGATGGACAACAACACGTCGTCGATCACGACGGTCCGTCCCACGCCAGCGACGGTGCCCACCACCTCCAGCACTACCCCAGCCACGACGGAAGCTTCGTCCGCCAGTGCCATCAAAGTGTCTGTGAAGGCCATGGCGGCAATTGCGTTCGCCTTGGCCTTGATTTAAGTTGCGTTCATCTCGCCATCTCGCACTTCCGTGTCATTAACATCTAAATGACTTTACTCGATGGCGTTAGTATGTCACTGAATCGTTTTCTCGCGGAAGGATGTGCTGCATGTTGTTTGGGAGCGAAGAATAATGACCTTGTCATCATGCAGCAGCAAACAGTAGCATCTCTCTTCTGCGTACAGCGCGAAAGACTGTCGTAAACGTCACCAACACTTCCTCAACCCATGTGCCTTGGCTAGGGGTAACAACTCGCCTACATATTGCAGCCCCACCTCCATGAGCGAGCGTGGTCACCATGCTTTGATCGTACCCGGTAGGGTCATACACGACTCGTGAGTGACTTGCGGCTAACCAAGCTGTCCTCCCATGTGAATGCCGGCGACAACTGCCGCGTCAAAAGTCCATGGGGCTGCGTGCATTGTGTCGCCATCACACAGCTCTCGTGGGAGCTGCCGTTGGAATCTTTTCTATTGGTACATGTAGGTATGCCCATCATCATTTCATGAATTGATTGTTGGCATACTGATTTTAACAGGTAAATATGCATTTTGACAGGTATTGCCTTCCGATTCAATCCTTTGGTTCCGCGAAATCGACAACACGATGGCGCAGCCGGTACGCCGCGCTTGCATCATCGCCAGGGCGGTGGAACTCACATGGCATACCTGTGTATTCTTTAGGTTCTAGAGGTCTTTGCAGAACATGGGTATCAACTCTTCCACTCACCCGAGGCAGTGTACGCGGACTTTCGCTCCTCTGGCATCTTCCGCCGATCTGGCGTCGATGCCACGTCCGCGTCCACGTCGCGATTGCATCAGCGTGAGGCGCTATTCGACGTTGCATTGTCCCATGGACTGAGCAGTGTCATTGCTGTGTATGTGCTGGCCCCGCAGGACGACAGCAACCCGACCAGCAGCTTCCTCCTGCAGGAACCTGTCGCCGTGCAGTCTTGGGTCCGATCCCACGTCGATCGTGCGCGGGGTGCCAAGTCGCCAGAGGAGCTGCAAGCGACCCTGCGACAGCTTCGGGGGCTCCGACATATCGTGCACGCCCTCGTGGAGCGTCTACAGCGCGGACACGAAGCTACCCCGTCGTCGTTCCACGCGTCCACAGAGTCATGGAATATGATTCCTTCGGGGGACGACGGCTCGATTGCATACTTGTCATCGCTCCAAGACGAACTCACGTCCGTGGAGCGCCTCGCCGAGTTTACGCTCTGGCTGCATCGCCACTTGGACGACTCGTCCACGTTAAACGTGTCGACTCCTTCCACCATGCTTCGCACAATCGTTGCCAGCGCGGGGCTCGTCGACTTGTTGCCCCTGCCGGCAGATGTTTCGCATCTGTTTGCTCACTTCCACGGCCGGGTGGACTCGCTGACGTTTGGCGCGATCATGCTCTTCCTCACGCTGCAGACCCATCAACCTCGAGCGCAGTTGTCGTGGGACGCGTTGCAGTCGTTCGCGCTGGACGCCGCGGCCCCCGCGCTGCACCTCCCGCGCGCCCATGCCGCGCACGTCTTGGCTCTCTGGGCCATCGACCATGCTTCTTATGACCGCAGCTCTTCGTTCCTCCACAGCGCAGTCGCCATCCTATGTCGGAGTCCCCCCGAATACATGGACCCTGACATTCTCATTGCCGTGCTCGACGTGCTGTTGCAAATGAACCAACCAGACTTGGCCCACTCGATCCTGTCGTTAACTTCTAACGACGAAGAAGCGGATGATCTGACGCATGTGCTGCTCGTCGTGGACACGTATCTGCGCCTCGATGCATGGCCCCTGGCATGGCTGGCGGCGCGCCGCGCCCCCCGACACATCGCCGCCACCATGCCCCGCCTCGTCGCGTTCCATCAATCGCGTGGAAACCTCCGCCATGTCCTCTTGAGCATGACGTGGACGCCCGCGGAAATGGCCATCTGGAAGCATCTCCATCTACCACCTGCCGACCTCGCCCTGCTCCACCTCGTTCGGTACATACATACATACATATATGGGGTCGCGAGGAGTGTGGGTCTTTTGAATATCTGGGATGTGTTGCAGAGTGTTGGTCTTCTTTTTCTCCTTTCTTCTAATCCAAGAGGATGGACATAGAGGCGAATTCGACCAAGCTAGCGCCGTCATGCCGACGACCGACAGCGCCGCGTGGCTTCGGCAGCACCACGACCTGCTCTTGCGCACCGTGGCGCGGGACGCGCCAGAGGTGCACGTGCCCCATGCCGCAGGGAAGGATCATCACTCTAAAAAAGAATACCATCACTCGCCTCTCTCTATTGCCGCCGCCGCCCCGACATTGTGGCCCAAACCGTCGAAAGGTAACCTCGTACTACTACTACTACTATATATATATGTGTGCTAGTATGTGCCTACTAACGCGGAACTCAGACCAATACGAGGTGTTCTTCAACCGACCAACGTTGCCGACAAACGCGGCGATCATGTCGTCGTCCGGAAATGAAAAGTTGCCCAGTGCGTTTAGCTTGCATGTGAAGAAACCCGTGTCGACTCCGCATGCAGGCAGCGTGTCCCCGGGCCAGCCGCCCCGACCTCTGGCGGCGTCGGCGGCGGACTCGTCTGAGGTGGTGATGCCGTACCAGTGGCTGTCGACAGACCTGACTCGCGGTCCACACAGCAGCAGCGCGTCCAAGGTCAAGCGAGCCAACGCTTACGATGAACAAGGCAAGTCCTTGGAGCCGGCTGCTCGTGATTCGAAGTCGCCGCCGAGAACACCCCATCACGAGGCACAGAGTAGTCTGCCCGCGCGTCGAAACCCGGTTCGAGACGTTCGGAAAAAGCACTAATACAACAGATGAAGGTTCTATGTCTTGTTGTGGTTACAACCCTTCGTCGTCGGGCACGATGCGACCTTCCGTCGGCACCAAGATGGGAATGCCGTGGCGGATCGGGTACGCCACGCGAATCTCGCGACAGAACAACACGCCGTGCGCTGGAAGGTACTCCAACGGAAGCTTCGAGATGGGACATACCAGTCGCTCCAAGACAGTCTCGTCTTGCAAGGTTGCTGTGCTGGAGGAGTGGATCGTACGGCCACGGAGCAACGCGGCGCCGAGTGGCCTCCGCCACGCGAGCACGGCCCTGGTGAACATTTTGTGGCTGTGGCACCTTACCTAAAGGTAAGGTGCGGAAACGAACATAACAGTACCATTACTCGAGTAAAGGAACTACTAGTATTAATAACGTTAACGTTATCATTAACATCAGTACTAGTAATACTAATACGTACTACCACTCTGTTCCATAATGATTGCAGCACTTGACTTCTGATTGGACTAAATTTTACATTTCTCCTCGTAATCACAAGCGGATTGGCTCATTTGACAGATACACATTCCAGCTTTGGATTTGACACCTCATGTTCCGGGAAAGTCAAAGTAGTTAACTGTAAGTGCGTCATGACCCCAAAGCTTTGTGACCTTATTTTTCAAACCAGAAAATCTTACGGTGTACAGTCGATAGTGATTGTATTTTTTGTAAGCTTAAGACTGTATGCTCGTGTGATGTCCTTACCTCGCCCTATCCAGTCGCAGCTCATCTAGGCATCCAGATGTGCTCGTGAGGTCGCTCCAAGTTTGTGATCGATTGGGGCTCTGTATTTTGAGCATTTGCGTATATAAAGTGCCTATCATTAGCTTCCCATGTTACCAGAGATCAACATGACCTCTAGTAAGGTCGCCACAGTGTTGGCATGGCCTGAATGGGTTAACTCGTCCTGAAAAGGTGTCGACAAAGGCATCCAAGTTACTGGTTTTTCATCCGTAATATTTAGGATTTATTTTATTATACTATTTCTATTATAAGTATACAAACTACAAGTATGTATTTAAATTACCGTTTCTTACAAAAGCTAAGATAAAAAGTAAAAAAATATGATATGCTGCAAAAGATATGGAACACTATGGAAATTGAGTTTGGATTATTTATTAATACCTGGTAATTAGGTTAAACACTGTGAATAATCCGGATACAATGAAAACATTTGTACGGATAAGTGCTGTATACAAAGACCAAGATATACTTGATACTCCTTTTGGGCCAAAATGTACCTAGTTCCATACTTAAGTATATCTCCGTATCGTCCATCCCTGTCCGATATTTCTCAAGATCGTCCATCGAGAAATACTATTATTCCAAAGGAGGGAAAGCAATTCCATTGGTCAAAAGTAAATCGAGTCAAATGTAAAACCACTCGAACTTATTATAATATTTCACGTTTTGCGGCCGACCACAGACTTTTGGGCAGGCGACAGTTGCGCACAGCCCGACGATGCGACACCGGACACATGAGGTAGCGATTGCCATTCACTCTACCTGTATGCCAGGCTCATCCTCTTGCCGTAGCAGCACATCAAGCCGTCAATGCCCGCGCCGCGGCGACCTTGCGCATGAACCCGGACACACGCGCACGGCCATCGCGGCGCAGACATTGACCGGACCATGGGTCTCGCTCGCCTCCTGGCAGACTCGCCACCACCATGCGCGCCGGTCACCACCATGCGCGCCGGACACCACTCGACTGGACCTGTCCTTTGTGTTGGACGGCAACAAAGGCCGGTACGCTCCGTGGCCCAAGAAGGCCCTCGACAAGTTCCGTCACGTCGGGTGCCCCCGGCAAGCAGCCATGAAGATGAGTTATGTGTGCTTTTGTGATGACAACTCAAAGACTATTCCATTTGCTAGAACCTGCACCAAGTCCCTGTGGAAGGCACAGTCCGACATTGTGGCGTAATGGAAGCGCGCCTGCTTGCAGGAGGTCTGGGTTCGATTCCCAGCAATGCCATGGCTTGTCGTACTCTGCGTGGCGCCTGTCGCACGTCGTCACTCGAAACTTGCAAGACAAGGACGACAAGCTGTTGTGTTGTGAATGAAGTGTGTTTTGTGAAAGCATTAATTGTAAAGTTTTGTAATGAATTCAAAGTTGTTTTGGTCTTATTGTGCTGCACGTAATGAGGATTGTTCGTCAGTCGAGTTACTGGTGACTTCAGGTTGATCGTGATCACTCGAATTCTCGTGGAGAATGTCTGCCATGTTCATAGGCGCATACACGGCAACTCGATGAAAGCCGTCGTACGACGAACCAGCCGGCAGTGCAGGTTGAGCAGCCTCTTCGCTGGCGCTGTGTTTGCTGCATGTGGCCCTGTTGTGGTCAATCCCAGTGCATTTCCGACACTTGGATGTCTTTCCCGAGGAAACCTACACTCTCGAGAAAGTGCTATCATGTTTGCATTAAGTTTTGGTTGCAATTTATATTTGTTTTTTTTCGCCTTGTTATTTTCGTAGAAAAATAATTGAACTCACCGGGATTCGAACCCGGGGCACCCCATGAAAGTCAGAGCACTTACACTAGGGAGAACGATCGTCCCTATAGCGTGCCGAGCATGACTACATCAACTGATGTAAATACATATCCCCATAAGTACATCGTTTGGTGGGCCCATGATGGTTCAAATGTTCCGTACTCCGGTGATGTCCATGTAGCATGATGCAAAACAACCCGTACCGTATCGCTGAAAGATAAGTCTCGTGAAATATTATATAGAATATATTTGTTTTGAGAGTCTCTTCCTATACTCGTGAAATATTATCATGCAAATATATATTTTGAGAGTCTGCTTAGTGCGGGAGAAGTTCTGAGACATAAAACCGAGGGCAGGCAAATTGACCACCGTGACAGTACACCATAGTTGTCTGTATTCGTCTGGTAAAGTCGATCCATTCCAAAGGATTTTGATTACTCCATTGATCATGTCTACTTTCGTGTGTTGGCTATCTTTTTTCAGAGGTTTCGATCTATACTCAGGAGGTCTTTGTACTGACTTTTGTATGTCAAGATCGTCCAGTGTCACACTAATTTTAGTTACATGCTAATTCGAGGTTGAATTGGTCGAAGATCGAAACTCACACATGATATTAATACATAAACGAGTGCATAGCGTGTAGTCCTCACGCTCGTCATATACAGCATTCCCACTGCGTTGAATGTTAGCATGTTATGGCTTGGATAAGAGTAATACGGTCGTGGGAATAATACTAACGGTAAAATGACATCGTCACTTGCGTTCTCAAAAAGCTGACGGTGAAGTCAGTCACTCACACTGTGAGCAGTGAGATTCCCTTGAAAGCATATGTACTACTGTAGTATCTGCAGTGAGATTATCCCCTGGAAGCATATATATGCATTGAGAGAATAATTCCCTCATTAAAACAGTTCCACTGTTTCAGTTGATTTTACGACTTGCTAACTGTAAAACGATGTATTACATCGCTGTTAATCAATTTTCGGACTTTAAACTTCGGATGTGTAATAATGTGTGTAATACTTCGAAGTTCGGTTAAGCCGTATTCACTGTATGAGGTGGGAAAATCAATTTCCCAACCGCCTTAAGATACAACGACCAAGTCGAAAAAAGCCCGTGGGTTGGAGTTCAATCAACGATGAAAGCACAAGAAACAAGTATTGTGGACCGACGAGATGGATGAGAGACATCTCAAGGAGGTTGTCTGGCTTGGCCCGAACGGTGTTGGTCACGGAAAGGTCAATGCAACGTGGGCAAATAGCACCTGTGCCCACGGTGCAGTGGCCATTCTGGACGCACCTGCCAGACAATATGCGACCCGAATTCTCAACGAGTCGCTATACTTGATTGCATATTCGATATGGGTATGCGGTCATGCTGCCTCAGTAGAGTTCAAAGTTTAAATCCGAGTGAGGTTTGCGAAGCTAGCGGTAGTAGCACAGCAACTGACAAGGTGGCAAATGTCATTATTGGTCTTTATCCGTTCAATTTCCGGATATTGAAGTACTCGGAGTACCACTTTCGAAGTGCGCGTGTCCATGTGCTCGAAGACAAGTTGCTAAACACCTCTAATATGAGGGAATTATTACATCCGGATACCGGTACACCACCTTTCCCTGTAACCTGGGACTCGGTCCTACCCCTGGTGCTAAATCTCCGGGGGGTTAACTGCATCGCTAGTGGTTAGCTAACCACTGAGATGCACTTAACCCCTACCTGTATGTACAGGGGTAGCGCATGGGAATACTAGATGTGTTGTGAGAAGGAATCCAGTCCGAGTGTGTACGACCTCGATGCATGCATATGTTTCCAAGGGATAATTCCCTCATGAAACAGTTCCACTGTTGTGTTTTGACCCGAAATACTGTTTCAAGGAGGTTTATATGGAACTCTGTATGCTCAGACCACGTCACCTCTAACTACCGTGGTACAATACCTCTGTGATGAATGGATTGCACCTATAAGGTATAATATTCGTGGTAACTTCCGCTTACAGTCCTATTTTGTGCAGATCAGGGGGTTTGCAAATATTAGAAACACTTGTATATTAACGAATTCCTCATCGCAACACATAGTCACATCAGCAAATCACATCAACGGCGACATAGACACGCACTCGAAACGCATACAAACACCAAGTGACTTGACTAGGACAACGTCACGGAGAAATCGTTCGAGCATGAAGAAGACGAGCGAGTGGCGGCTGGAGCAGTGCCGCACCAACCAGCGGAGGTATCGGAAGCAAGCACAGGAAGGTCTGCGGTCCCTGGAGGAGCAGGTCGCGACGCTGAACGTCGAGACTGCGCGCTTGGAAGGCAACTTGACCATCCTGCGTTCCACGACGCTGCTCGCGTCCGCCGGCGCCAAACTCATCGCGCACTACTTGGACGTGTTTCGCCATGGATTGGTGGCGCACAACGAAACGACACAGGTGAACCTCGTGCGAAGCATCGTCGCCGACGACGCGATCGTCACAGGGGTGCAAGGCGGCGCGGACGCCGTCCTCGACGGATGGCGGCAGCTCTCCCATGCGTTTCCTTCGCTGGAACTGGTCCAATCTCACATGGATGTCCTGCATCTCGACACGTCGCAGCTCGTGCACTGCTATGGCCACATCAAGTGTCGGATATCCCAACGGACGTTGGAGTCGGTCTACCCCCATGTGCTGACCAACTACGACGCACTGGCCGCGCGGTTGCTAGGTCGAACCCTCACGGTACCGTAGGATCTCGGTGGATATATGGAATGTCTCCTAACATGAGGGTTTGCTTAGGTGCCGGTAGCAAGGCAGTATTCGATCGACAACGACACAAACCAGGTCACGGAAGTGCTGGTCACGGCCAACTTTATGCAAGGACTCATGGAGCTGCTCCAGTCGACAGAAGATGCCATGCACGTCATGTCCGGGGCCAAAATGGACCTGTGGGGCAAGCTGCTCTTGCATCCTGACAACGACCTGTCGTAGCCAAGGTCCTGCATCATGTTTGTTGGCCGTGTGATATCTCGGAAAGGAATGCCGTGTTGGGGGCATGGCGAGGGTGCGTCGTGGAGAGAGCACGTGTTGCATGTGCTGCAGCACGGTGGCGATGATATCCACGCCAAGGATGTTGTTCGTACCTCCAAGTAATTTAAACCAAGGCGTGGGTGGATCAGTGTACTGTGTTCCCACTGTGCAGTGTTCCGCCGCCTTCCGACGACGACTTGAACGCTTCGGAGGACAGGGCCACAAGCTTCCTTGGGGTGAGATGCACTCCCCGGGACGTCTGCGGCGTCTTGATGAGCTAGCGGCACCGTGAACTCCCACGTCGACGCCGCTTTCGATCTTGAGAATTGCTCCAAAGCAATAAAAAGGTTGCTCTGGGTCCGGATATATTTACCGGATAGCATGGATACTACGGTACTAACGGATTATACTACCTCTGTCCGAAAGTGATTGCACGAGTGTAAGTTTACGGTACAATTTATTATATTATACAGTTTAAAATATATTTACAAATATAAATTTACAAAACTTATACGTGAGCACAGTCAAAAATGATCATCATTCCCACTGTTTTTCGTGGATAAATCAGCTGTCATTCCTATTTAGGACCTTGGGGGGCTCTAATTGGATTCCATTTGAAATTTTGTATTCAAAAGTATTCCTAATACCCTAATTTCACACCTGAAATGTCCATTCGTGCAATCATTTTCGGAAGAGGTAGGTAGTATTGCATTAGTGGAAAAAAGTCGGACAGGATATACCAATCATCGACATGCGACATGTATTTCGCATACAGCTCATCATATACGCCATATCTCTATAAAGTGGTGTGCCAATGGTTCATACGGCATTAATTGGCACTTTATGTTATATGTTTTTAACGATTAAATGTTATATTTTTAAAAGTTAGGCATTGACGAAGATGCCAATCCTTCAAAATGGCAACTAAAAGTAGTGCACCGCTGCTTTCTTCGTCAGGCTGAGACCCAGTTCGAAGCACCGAATTTCCGGAGACTCGATCAAACCACTCCGAGTCGCCGGAATATTTTTGCTTTTAGCCCGGACGTGAAATACTACCTCCTAGTGGTACTCTACACACCGAATAAATAAATAATTCGACCAATAAGCGTTGAGTAAAAATTGAATGTTCGGTGACAATCAGTACTTGGCATGCCTTTTTGACACTGTTAGTCAATCTACTTCGAACTGGCCCTGAACACGATTTGATTCTAGCGTGTTGTATGGTGATGATGAACAATAAGTGTAACTTAACGTTACCATATCGTTTGAGGATCGAAAAGTTGATCATTTCCTGGGCACGATACTTCAAGTAAATTGGACAGAATTGTGAGCAGCATCAAGCGATTTGATTGGCTGACCATCAGCATACTGACATTTCAATGATATCTTTTTCCGTACACTGGACGTACATTAATTGTACGGTGGACGTCTTAAAATTGAAACTCTTCACGTCATGGCGGCGGTCATCGAGCGGCGAAAAGATGTGTCGCGAAGGTCGGCTGCCGTAAGTGTGTCGAACGAAACGATGGCCAAGTTGGAGGATGATGTGAGAGTGTTGACGCGGACGACCGCACGACTCGAGGGCCAAGTGGAGACGCTGCAAGCGACGCTGTTGCTGTTGCCGCGTCGCCGGTACGACAGCGCAGCACTGCTGTGCAAGGAGTATTGGATGCTGTTTCACCACGGGTATGCCGCCCACGACCGTGAACTTGCGGCAAAGCAAGCGAGGATGTGTTACGCGGTCATGTGCGAAGACGCCATGATTGGGAACCACAGCGTCGGTCCCGCGGGCATGCTTCGGCAGTGGATGCGGTGGGGGTCGTCGTTCCACAACTTTCGCAAAGATTTACACAACATCGACGTCATCCACTGCGAGCCAACATGCATCGTTCGCATGCGCGGCACGCTTTTCGTCCGCATCATGCGGCACACAATCGAGCAATTGTATCCGCATGTCCTGGCCAACGAACCGATGGTGCAACTGGTCATCGGCGTGGAACTGGCCGTGCCCTTGCAAGTGGATTACATCATGGACACTCGTTGCAGTCGAATACAACACGCGGTGGCCAGTGTGGACTTTGCCCAAGCGTTTCACGTTGCGCTGGGCAATCTTCCCATCACGAACGCCATCATCGCCCACAGCCTCATCCAACCGTCGGGAGAAATCCCAGTCACGTGCGGATTAGAGAACCAAGATAGTCGCTAGAAAGAGTAGTGTCCAGTCGATGTTGTATTCGTTGTCACAGCCTGAAGAGCCGCGATTTACAGGGCCGGCTCGGATGCCATATACCCCTTCCTGCTGTTGCTCGAACTAACTGTAAACACAGGCTCGTACGCAGCAATGCTTGCACTGGAAGCTGCTAAATGACCTACAACTAACACATAGTTGGCCTTGAGTTCTGTACGTAACGTTGTCATGTACTCCGGAGTAACGTGCTAATTTCTCTGGGGGATACAGTCAGTTATTACAGTACCAGTAGTATTGTGAATTCTCTATAAATTTCCAATATTCACGTGGTTTGTCTAATCAATATCGTACTAGTATTGAATCTCGCTGGAATTTTGATTGGTTGAATATACTTGTCCTTTCTGTAAGAGCCAATCAAATCCACTCCAAAATTGGATGAGCCAATCGCGTGGATTCTTGCTTCGATTCGGCGGCGAGATTCGATTCGACGGAGTCTGGAAATTTGTACCGAATCCACAATACTTTTCGATAGGTGATCTTTTGACAAGGACCATTTTACAGTAAGTCTTTGTCGACCAAGTGGCAAAACTCGAGATTTTCCTCCCTCCGAATTGCCCTCCCTCCTTGAACTTTTTTATTTTAGTTTCATTATATATATCCGATAATTCAAACCATGTGGTATCCAATGTAGTGTTCTTATTGGCTGTTAGGTTTGGTTGTGTATTTTTGATCTCCTCTAAGCCAATCATATTATATCAAAATACAATAAAAATACTGGTTGGTGTCGTCGTCGTCGAGCTCCCTACACGCATATACTGACTGTACTAGTACTGCGGACCTTTCTATTCAAACGTACTGGTTTCCCTCCCAGTTTCGAACGGGCTATTTTCGATAATTTTTATAAACTAATAATATATATGAAATCATGGTTTCTTCAATGGTTGACTCATCGTGCCGGTACTGTGTGCGCCGCCAACTTGAATCATCTACGCCATCAAGGCCCAAGAATGGAGATACGCTCAGCATATATTCATGGTCCATTTCGATCTCGAGGAGGGTGGCTTAGGAGCACGAGCGGCAGTATCAATCATAACTTGATAACTTTAGAGTCATCTTACAAGTGGCCAATGCCATGAAAGCTTATGTTGAGGAATGTAGGCCTTTCAACTCGTGCTTTGACAATATGAGTTGCACAATGGGACGTGTGTACGGTACAGTAGCATCGTAACGATTCCAAGTCAGCCACATTGACGAATCCTCAGCAAATTTCTCTACTAACGTTAACGCCTAATATTGCGGCACAACAAGCCAGGAACAGCACCGTAATAACAGTAAAGAAACATCACTTTATTCTGCCCAGGTAATGTAGCATGACTTGATTGTACTTTTCATACCGTATTGGTCAACCATTCGTTTCGATCAGTCAAGCAACATGGAGTGCATACAGTAGCCATGCCAAAGTAGTGTTCCGTAAAAGGTCGATATTTGACCTATTATAGCCAATAGAACGCGTCTTTGAAATTCTGATACTCGAGGCTGCATTTTTTCATCCGGATAAAATGGCACGGATTTGTTTTCAGCCTATCGAGATTTTGAATATTCAAGGCCATTTTACTTCAACTAATGCGAAATTACAATTTCAAGTCACACAATCTGCATTTTTCCTCGTGATTAAAAAACACTATTATAATAGCAAATTGGACGTCAGGAAGATCTCCAACTGAGGGCCTCTAAATGTGGCACGGAACTCGGCCCTTATGTATACCGGTAGGTACATGACAGTACCAAAAGTATACCCTGCGTGAGTTCACACACCACCACGACCACATTTTTTACCACTTTTGATTAGCAGCCAACATGAAATTGCCCACGTGGCTCGAAGAGTTCTTGCATTGATGCTTACTGAGGAGCAACACCTGTGTGTATAGAGGAAGGCAAGGTCTACCTTCCTCTATACACACAGGTTTTGCTTCTCAGTAAGGTATATTCATCGGGGCTCGGCTAATCAAGTCATTTCACATGCATTTTGAGCATACACATTGACACTCGTAGACTGCAGCAGGCTTACGACGAGCATTAAGTATATCAAAATACTAAAGGATAAGTACTCTCAAGCAGCAATAGCATACTGTACTATAATACAATGTCATGGCCCTGCTGGTGGTTATGAGATCATACATCATCAAGATGATTGCTTACTGGTATCTATCTATTCATCATGGAGGAGTGTGTATTGTATATTTCATCAACACCTAAGCTCTATCCGAGATGAAAAGAACATTCAACTTGTCGACTATAATGTGCTTCGTCTTGAATACTTCTCCTATATACCGAGTGAAGGCGCATGTATTCAAGAAGAGTGTATTGAACCCACTTGAACACTAGTGTTGACACCACTTGACCCCCCCCCAATATATGACTCCACTCAGTTCCCCGTGTGGCCTATTCATGAAAGTTGACTTGACAAGCGACGCAATGTTCTGAGGATTCTGCAGCGACATCGAACTGTGTAGAAATCATCAATATGATCTACACCCCGCTATATTGCTCTTGACAGGTCGCATTGGTGCCCGTTCTAAACCTTATATGAAATATCCGGAACATATTGTTACCGACAGCTCATCTGTTTCGACAGCCAAAACAACACTTCCACCAAAACCTCCTAGCACCCGTGCTCAAATCGACTTCGAATGTCAACCATCCAAAGCAAATTACACCCTATAATGAAACCAGCTTAAATTTGAATTTGTCACCATGGAGAATCAAGTCAAACGCACCCACCGAGAGCTCTCGAGCAGCGGCAAAGTAACGGTGATCCAAGACCAACACCGCATAACTCGTTGCGTTACAATCTATGGGGTACAACTAATGCGACGTGGTGGACTTGAATAATACGTGGTACAATACAGACAAGAACCGTCGGAAGGTGTAGCTCGTCCCAAGTGAGACACTGCAACGTCAATCGTGAAGAGCAAGTGATTCATCCCAAAGGTAATCATCTTATCAATGCTACGATGAGGCCCACTGTGTTGGCTTCAAGGGTAAGATTGGGATATGGCCTTTCGTGTGTCTTGTTCTGGGATCCCGCAACTCACGCCACTGACCAGCAGGGACTATGATTACAACTTTGGGCATTGTCAGCAGTGCTGTGTACCGTGACTACGTAAGGTTATACCTGCGATCATGGCGTAATTTCCAAGTGCAAGCAAGCACGTGGTGCCGCAGCACGACAACCCGACGCCGGATGGGTGCCTCACGGATGCGGAACTGGAGTGTATCAAAGGATGGTTGGATGTTTTTAATGCGTCGGTAGCGGCCAAGCAGCCCAGATCTCAACGTGCTGAATCTTGGCTTATTTGCCCCGATACAATTGCTTCAGTACAAGAAGATGGGTATGTAATACCATGGAAGCATTCGACGACCTGAGCTATGAGAAGCTAGCGAACGTGTACCTTACGTGTCAGGCAGTGATACGGTTGTCCTCGAGCACTGTGGTGACAACCAGTTTGCGTTGTCCCACCTGAAGACGGCAGTCTTGAGTCGCGTTGGTCTACTGATGTTGAATGTTTCTTGCCCTTTGTCGCTGCTTTTGTAAGCTAGGAAATATTGACAGATTGAATCATTGTATTATTTAATAGGCCAATAATGTGTGTCTACTGTATTTCTTCACAGTAATGTGGAAAAAGTGTGTGGAACAAAGGATGCATGGGTTTGCCTTTGATACTGTACAGTACCAGTGGGTCACAAAAGGCTTCGTACAGTTGCATGTTTCGAGCAGCAAGGTCAATAAATCATTCAAACCGAAAGTTCTTGGCGTGTAACTGATTGGACTGCCAGTGAACAGCTAGTAAGCATATGCCATTCAACTAGCATCGTGGTGCCACATCTTGTCCTTCAAATGTATAGTGAGTGGTCAAGCTGCGATGTCCACAGGGTTGCCTTTTGGTGTCGTTGGCGAGCAAGGACCGAGGTAAGTATGTCTGATGAATGGCTTGTGTTACAAAGTAGCCAAGTTAATTCCTCCATAATGCAGTCTACCTGTAATCCCCCAGCCAGCAACAGGAATCTGTCCGTCGATGCACTCGAAAAAACCAAGACACTTCACTCGGTCGTTGTATCGACAGTGAAACTTCACCTGGTTGACAGAAACCTTGGTTGTCGCATCTTCGCTGGTGATTTGGTCGTCCATGGAAGCGCACTATTCTTCGAAACAAGAAACCGTTTCACTATGTTTATCATGGCGTGAATAGAATTTTTTAACTGTAAAACAACACATCAAAACGATGTCATGTGATGTTATATTTGGAAGCAAAGATAGCTGATCAAGTTGGATGTTATATTTGAGACAACCACTTTCAAAGCCACACAGCATGAGCTAATCTAAACCGACCAGCCCGAGACTCAATTCGCGTGTTCACACGCATTAATAGAGCTCTTAATGACGTATCATAGAGGTCGAGCTATATTCATCGAGGTATTTACTTACAAAGTATGTTATATTTGCATATCTACATAATGACGTATCATAGAGGTCGAGCTACATTCATCGAGGTATTTACTTACAAAGTATGTTATATTTGCATTTTTTTGGTACTTTGAGGACTCATCACTCATGCTACAATGTTGCAAATCGCATGCATTACCCCGCTCGTAGACAAGCTGTCAGAGAGATATTCGATGTCAAAGTCATGTACTTCGAAGTACTTTCTTAGTGAACTAACAATAAATTAATTTATGACTAACTTCAAGTCATATTTGAAGCAAAGTTTTATTATTATTAATATGTTAATTGGTTTTAAAAATTTCAAACTATTCAATGTCAAGTCCATTAAAATTACCGAACAGTTTTGAGCTGAGTGTGAAGTCACTACACCATGCGTTCCCGGTTGTCGCGTCTCCTCGAAAGGCCAATGGAAAGTCCTCAGCCCATAGTGTGGCTATAAGAGCTAATGCGATCGAACTGCTTGGTATGCTGCCGATGCATTTGAGGTTCGCTGCTTTGGTCATTTCCCACACCCTCCAGCAGATATGAAAAATCCAGACTCCTGTTGTGGGGAAGAGTAACGTAATAAAAACATTAGGGAGATTTCGGAGACGAGTATTTATCTTTATTCTTAAAATAACCTCTGAAGCTTTATAGAGTTGAGGAAAACTCCGGAACTTAGTAACAGAATCATCGGCCGTGATACATGTAGGCCAGATCTGTTGCCTTGGCGCAACGCTTTCTTGTTGGTACTTCGAATGGAGCGTGGATGATGGACACGTGGAGGATGGTCCACATGGAGTGACGTAGAATCCCGTGCACCATCACATGTATACACTTGTATTACGAAAAGCAGCTTAGTCGGCCGCGCCTAGCGGTGCATCCGGCCGGAGTTGTACCGGTGGATGATCAACGTAACGATCGATATCTTAGAAGCACCAGATAAGTACTATTATAATAGAGAGGTTTTGCAAGTGTCCGCTCGCGGTCGCGTTATGCTCCGAACCATGCTTTTTGTGCCAGATGCAGTTCGAACGGAATACTACGTAGTTTCAAACGTAGTTGTCTTGCACGAATGCGTTCGCGTTCTGCTTACAAATATCCGTATAAGTAAATATTATTCGGATTTTCATCCACGGCGAGAAATCACTTTGTCCAGCGGTGGGTGGTGCTCACGCAGTGCGAGTCGTCCTTGCTTTCCCCTTCGTAAAAAAACGACACAGCAACATCATTTCATAGTGTTATGTGCGTTAAGCTACGTTGAGCGCCTAGTTTTTCCAGACATCCGGTACAACCAACGCACTGCTGGACTTTCGCTTCGACGTCATGGTAATCAAGAAGTTGGGCTACCTACTTGGTCTCCCGGCAGTGGTGATTACTACTCAACGCTATTGTACCGTGCTTCCCGGGACGAAGCGATGGGTATTCTGCTCGGCCGGCTGGCATTTCCAGCCTACAGATAGAAGAACTGAACTAACACAATATAAGTTTCAATCAATTCAATGCTTCCTATGCCTCTGCCGTCCCTACTAGTCCCAACGCTATAGCGGCGAATGATACGTGGGACCACTTCATTGTGACCTCGCCGATCATCCACGAAGTCCACGAATTGGGCTCCATCTCGTCAACGGATAGGGAAAAATTGTTTTCTCCGAAATCGACGATATAATATCCCTTGCTTTTATTTTGCTTTCAATTGTCACGGAAAAAGAAAAAGAGAAGCCATCTTCGAAATCTCCCTAATATCCAAGTGGTTTGTACGACAAAAATACTTATACTCCGGAGTTTGATAGTACTACGTAGTAAGCCCTCTGAGAAAAATACGCTACGTAGTACTAGTATGAACAACAGTAATACTAGTATTAATCTACCAACGGAAGCGCGGCACTAAACGCAAGCGGCAGTGACCCACCCCCGTGGTGGTCTTGTGGCCGAATGATGAGCACTTGCCACGCCTTGACGTCCATCACGACAAACGTGCCACTTGGCGTTCGAAATGTTAACAACCCGTTCAAGACGGCTGACGCACGGTCCAAATAGTACACGCCATGGTGGTTCCAATGGCGTAGGTCAAATTGATCTTGCGCCACCGCGTGCAAGAGGAGCGACGTCGCGCGTTTTGCGGTCCCCCGCCGAGCAAAACACACCCGATCCAGTACAAAGCACCCGACGCAACACACCATGGCCAGCACCAGTAGCCCCGCAAATCGGTGGACGCTGCCGATTTCCAGCACGCCGCTTTGACATGTCAAAGCAAAATCCACTTGTTGCACTATGCATTGCCGATCGATGCGCACCACATGCTGCACTGGCGAGACCAAGCTCCACACCCCTGCTGCGAGCCACACCGAGGTACTTGATTTCCACGCATACCGCGACGTCGTGTCCGTTGTGACGACAGAGAACACGTCGTTGAGGATGTACACAACCCAACCCATCTCGCCACACGACAGTATGGTTGTAATGGCATTTGGGGGGCTCGACGCCAGCTGGGTGAAGCCTGCGTGCATATTATTTGGTTGGACGAGGTGCAAAGTGGCTGTGGACAAGATGCAGGTGGCGGTGACGCCCCGCAGAAGCATCAGTGGGCGACCAATCCACACCAACCCCGCCACACGATTGAACTCGAACATGTTAACGCCCTCAATGTAGCCCCGGTTCACCAGAATAGTCAAGCACACCACAAACGCGACGATCAATAGCACCATGGTAAAGTACTGAAGGGCCGATCGAAGGTAGAACGCAACGTTCAGAGGAACTTCGAGCGCATTCACTTCGAACATGACGTTCGATGGCCGCCCAGACACAACAGTCATGCTGGCAAAAGCGCCGTCGAATTGAACGACTTCGCGGTACCCCAGCATCCACTCGAACATGTACAGCCACGCAAAAAACTCAAACGTAGGCTCGTCAAAGACACCGACATGCGACAACGCGGCATTCGATTGTGGCTGCCCATCCCAAGTGTACTGGACAATTTGGGGACTATACATGGATTGAATCGTATGTTTGGTGGCGTCGGCAAGGTCGACCAACGCCAAGAGCTGGCGAGGCAACATGGTCGACTCGAAAAACCGAACGCCTTGGAGCAAAGCGTCCTTGCAGCTATTTTTTGCGAATGTTTCATGTTCACATGTGTGTTCGATCAACGTTTGGGGGCGAGTGGACTGGGTGAGCAACGCCGCCATGGAGGAGATTTTCGTGTCCAACGTTTGCTCAATTTCGTTGGTCGCACACGACCCGTCCAGCGGAAAGAGCCCCGAGAGCTTGGGTTCGACATGCGAGCCCAAGCTGCACATGAAATTCCCGCCAATGTGGCTCAATTCCCGCCATGCGGCTATGTCCGGTGTGAACATGGTCAAAATCTCGATGGACGAGAAGACGTCGAGCGCCGTGGCGTTGTCGCCGATGGAAATGAGGATGGCTTGGGTCAGATTTTGATACAGCACTCGCAACGGGAGTGGAGGGGCGATGCGCTTCATCGCTATCGTGCCGAACGGGCCGAACGTCGCCCGCGTCAAGGCCAACCCTGCGTCCAATGGGGACGGCAACGTGCCATTTCGCACCAAGAGGCTTTCGACACTCGACTCGTTTGAAAACGCAAACTCGGGACTGGACCGGACGAGGCTGTGACCGGCCACCCCCGACGTATTGGTGGACCCCACCGCCCACAGCAAACTGGCAAGGGGCCACTGCATGCGAAACGAAGTAGGGGACGATGATTGATACTCGGGGGCAATCTTGCGGATGGTCAAGGGGTAGGCTAGGCCAAATGCATTTTGGATGTGGGCGGTCTCGACAATGCCCATTTGCTTGTGGTTTTGCCAGTGGGGGGAGTACGCTGTCACGTTAAACGAACGCCACGCGGCCACTTCGTCTGGCACGGGTACCTTTGACTCTAACGACGTCATGGCGACAACCCATTGTTGCCCTTTCGACGAGGATTGGACATGGTCGAAGACGCTGCGTTGCAACGCCGCACCCCAGCATGGTTCCATGATCGCCCAGTCGGCATTGCGTAGGATCGATTCGAGGTACAGTGCGCCGTTGGTTGCATCGAGTTTGCACTTTACCTGGCGAGCTGCCGACACAGCCATCTCCCACGACTGGCCGAAGTCGACAAAACAATACGACGAGGCAATCCACGGCAAGTCGCAGCTGTGCGTACTTCGCAACCCCACGACAACAGCGTGCAAATCCGAGTGCACTTGGTCTTGAATCGATGCGGGATACATCGGCGCAGACATGATGGAGGTCTGATTGGAATCGTAGGTGTTGACGACGTCGCCATATTGGAGCTGGTCGATGTGGGTCGCGTCTAATGCAGGGGACAGTAACAGCTGGTTGCTGAACCAGTTCGTGAGAAACGTCTGATGTCCCGTGGCATTGAACGAGGCCCACCACACGTCATTGGTCATTGTCGATTGGGTCACGACCAGGTAGGTATAACTGGCTACGACGGTACCCACCATGTAAACAAGCCCAAGGCAGGCAAACCCGAACAACCGAGAGGTAGCGTTCGAAACAGGTACAGCTTTGTAGGGAACGCTTGGCAAAAGAGGCGGGTTCTCAACCATGATGCTCGTAAACTTCGTTCGACGAAATTTCCGCCATAGTTTGATGTCAAATGCGATATCATGGGGCAAATGTAGCAGACCACACATGACCGAAGCCACAGGTTCGAGCTTCTCCCCATCGTCCACATGCAGATAGGACGTGGCGGCCGCTGGAGCCAGCACTTGGTTTCCACTGAACACGATCGGCGTGGTATGTTTCCATGTCCTCAACAGCCACGCAGCGAGCCACAAGGTCACGGGCACGACAGCGCAGATCGCCCAAAGCAACTTGAAGCGAGCGCTGCTGCCAATCTCCACCACGCCACTGTCGCATGTAATCTGCGCTCCCAATTGTCCAAGGACACATGTCGGGTGTATCACAGATGTGACATTAAGCCCCCTGGATTGGTCGAGTACCAGAAGGACCCCCCATACGACACACGAACTCGTGGGCAGAAACCAGCCGGCATGGTGAGTCATGGGGGAGAAAATGTCCTGCAGGACGTACGTGAGCCACGTGCCTTCCCCTGCCAACAAGCACGACTCGACGATGGATCGAGGAGCCCACTCCAATGTCGACAACCCACCGGATTGGACAAAGGTTACGGGGACAGTGCTGAGAACGACGAGGGCGGTCATACCTCGAAGAAACAGCATCGGCCGACCGATCCACACTGCTCCTGCGACGCGGTTAAACTGGAGCAAATGGGTTCCGTCAAATTGAAACCGATACACCAGTGCGTAGAGCACAATCAACGCCCCCACCCCCGTCAATAGAAATGTAACGTACACGGAAATGTACCAAATGTACTTGCACGCATGGGACCGCAGCTCGGTGGGGTTTGCCACCATGGAGAATTTGACTGGATGGGGTTGCGTTAACAGCGTCACATTGCCGTGGTCTCCTTCAAAGTTGTACGCCTCTCGATCCCCTTGCAGCCAGTCGTACATCATCACCCACCCAAACATCGTCCACGGGTCCGAGGTATCCGACGGCACCATTGGCTGGGACAAGACAAAGCTGGATCCATTGTCGGAGGCTAGTTGTATAAACGCAATGTCCAAGGCCCTGGCTGCTTGAAGCAACTCCAGACTAGCCACCTCCGTGTCTAGGTGAATGTTGTGCTGAATATCAAGCAAGTAACTCGCACATGCGTCGGCAGTGTCGTTGGTGCAGAGTTGGCACGACATCAGGACCTTGTCTGCACCAAGTGGCGTCATGATATGCATGGCAAAGAGAGCAGCTTCTGGTGTCAAACGAAGCGAATGGCGGACTTGACTAGTGCAATCGTCGTAAAAGCCAAACGATGGCTGAATATACGGCTGCCCCTCTCCAAACGGGCACATGGGGTTGCCACCATAGTACAACGTATAGGGGCTGCCGCGCCACGACGTAGGGATTGGGTCCACATACGTGACACGCAGCCGAGCTTTATTGTCTTCGTTGTAAATCACCGCCACTTGCTTTTGAAACGCTCGGTGAAACGCTTGCAGGATGGGCGGAACGCCAACCCATTCCACATCAATCGACAAGAACGGACCAATGGTCTGCCGCACAAGATTGGCGCCCACGGTGTTGGGAGGGTAGTACACGTCGTAATCCCAATCGATCCCGAGGTTGGGTAAGCTGTTGTTGGCGTCCAAGAGAACGCTGGCGCCGATACTGTGGCAAATGTACAGGTCGTTCCAAATCCCATCGTACGCCGCCAAGGTAGTCCACCGGCCAACGCTGCGACCAAATGTAGACAGTTTCTTGATGTGCATGGTTTGTTCGTACCCTAGGGCGTTTCGAATCGCGATCGAGTCGTCGATGCCGTCCTGGTTCAAATTCTGCATAGGAGTCTTCCATCTCGTCAGGCCTCGAGAGGTCCAGTACGCCACTTCGTCGTCCACAGGTAGGAGTTCTTGGTGGTTTTCCATGGCTTGAATCCACCACTGGCCCTCCTTGGTCAACCGCAACGTACTGAAAATAGTGCCGTTGATCTCTTGCCGTTGGGTTGTCGTGTACATGGAGTTGGCCGCACAATTGCGCGTCACAGTCTCCATGTACAATCCCGCGTTGGACTGTTTCGTGGCTTCGCATCGACGTTGCCGTTTGAACGTATGCGCCATGGCAAAGGTTCGGTTGATGTCCAGCCAACAATACGGCGCGACCACCATTAAATTGACTTCCAAGTTGAGTTTCCGGAGTCCGTTCACGGCCATGGCGAGGGGAATCTCGTCCAGCAAGAGCTGGCGACCATACGACGCGCTCCATTCAATGCGGGTGTCGTTGTTGGCATAAGACTTTGTAGAGTACACCGACGAGTCCGAGTCGAAAAGCGGGAACGCCCCCCTTTGAGACTGCGAAAGGTGAACATTGTACACATCCCCAAGAAACGTCTGCACACCGGTCGAGTTGAAATCTGGCCACCAGTAGTCGTTGGCCAAGCTCGGATGGATTCGTACCAAGTATAAAGCACTGGACACGAGCGACACCACGAGGTACGCCAGGCCTCCAAAGGCAACCCACCGGGGGCGGCGCGGCGCGGTGGCGGCTGGTTCAGTCGCGTTCCCGACCGTCACACGCGTCATCCTTTTTACAAGTGTCTTTGTGGTTTCGGAGTTTGGTCCCCCTTTCCGTTACATCTATTTATGGTCATGCCAGTAGCAACCGATCGTGGCCACAATGCAAGCGGAGAACGTCCCGGTAGTATTCTGGGCTCGTTCTTCGTCGGACTTGGGACTACCGGTAGTGAATACAGTAGTGTATTATGTTTCAATGTGGATAACTACTCTCGATATCCAAGATTGGTTGCAATATAGTATAAGGCAAGTATCTTCAAGATGCTTACTACGTATTACTTCGTAAGTTAGTACTTCGAAGTAGTATTTATGCGAAACGTGGCCGTTTCAGCGTAGCAGTTACATGAGCATGTACTGTAGTTACATGCACAGGCTTGTATCCGTTGAACGTTAAGTGGCCTTCGGGGGAATGAGTCACTCGTGATATAGCCACTCAGCTTAAATCGAACTAAACTACCTTCAAGGCTAGTTCCTTACCCCCATATCTGGGCTGATGAGGTCTGATGGACTGCTGACGATGAACAGAAAGGTCAGTGGCAGACTTTGGTGAAGTGCTAATACGGACTGGTGGACCTAGGTAAACAAAGAAGGCTGCAGCATACAGTAAGTAGTCTCTCCTTTCTTTCACGACAATTATATGGCGTGGAAAAGGCTCACACAGGGGTAAAGTATCACGGAATGCTGTGTCAGACAAGCATGTGCAGTACGGTACAACCCTCGGATACAACCCTCTGGCACCGAAACAGTTGCTCTAGATTTTTACTATCTTATCCTTCTAACGTGTTATTAATATTCTGTCATATGGTAACCAATTTGAGTTTCATTCAAAATATTGTATTTTTTATTGAAAATCCATAATAATTTCATGCAAAACACACATTGGGGTCCACCAATCAACGCCTTGGATTTGGAACATGTTGTGTTTTGCCAGGAGGCATCATGGGGCGCGAGGCCAAGAAGGCCAAAGCCAAGCAGTCGAGAGCTGTATGACGCTGATCCATCGTCGTTCGCACCAGATTGACCACCCATATCGTGTTAGAAACAAGCAGCTTCGTCCAAAAAGAAGGCAGGGCGCGGGTCTTCTGGCACAGGAATTGACGTGCACGCCGTGCGAGCGCAGTTGGCCACGCGCGGGTACCAACTGGTGGTGCGTCCATGCTTATGGCGTTGCATATATCCGCCCAAAACAAGTATCGTGTAGACCATTGAATCTGACGGCAACTGCTTGTTTCGAGCACTAAGCGACCAACTGCATGGCGACCAGAGCCATTTTGCGGCAGTTCGGCAGGTGTGATGTGGCCTCGTGTGAAAACCTCATCCAACCGCAACGCATACATATAGCGCATTGTGGCCCATATCAAAACGCATCAAGATGAGCTGGAGCCATTTATGGAAGACGAGGAGAAGTTCGACCATGTAGCTGTTGGCACTGTCATCCATTGCAAATGACATGGGTTGTTGATCTTCACTTGCTAGTATTGCAAACGCATGGCGGACGACGGGGTTTGGGGTGGCAACCTCGAGCTCTTTGTCGCAGCACAAGTGTGGCAACACCATATCGTTGTGCACCAGGTACCGTTAACTCGATTCTGTGACTCTATAAAAAATGGCTAGTTGGTTACACTTTTTAATGCTACCGGTATACTATTGATATGTGTACATGATTCTGTTGTGTCTAGGTGGACGGGAACTGCACTACGATAGACTGTGGCGACGCCCAAGCCGAGACCTTTCACGTGTGTTATTACAACGACGAACATTACGATAGCATTCGAAGCATCGACGACGACTTGACGGGGGCCCCTACTCAGATTCGCCATGACACTGCAGGGGTAAACTATACGATGGGATACCCAGAACAAAAAATGGGCCTGAGATCTTGCTGTAGTCGGGTAAAATTTGCGTCGAAGACAACGCATCCAACACAACATCTGCAAAAGACACTGCGAATCGCGATATCGAGAGAGTCCCACACACTCCAGAACTCCAACTCGTCCAGTTGTGGGCAAAACTCAACTGTGACGAGAACCGAGTGCGCCGAAAACTAGCCAAAAGGATCGTCAAAACAAACAAGCGAAAATAAGACCCAAACTCGTATTATTACAGGGCTAGGCAATTTTGTATTCGAACTACGGTTATTGCATTCTAGCTACTTACTCTGGGGTAAGTACTAGTACCAGTACGAGTAGTACGCGCGCGCTTCATAGTACTCGTGGATTCTACAGTACCTACCGGGTAGTAGTACTACCGATAGCATGTACATACCGACTTGCGGTTACTGGTGTTGTTGTCCTAGGCAATCCCTGGCCGACATGTGTCGTAGCGGCCATTCGCAATAATTTACTAGTACGTACTATGTAGTACATGCATACTGGGTTTTTCTCGTCACTTCAACAGGTTGCGAGTGAGTCGAGTTGTTGACGGAAATAACTAACGCAAGGGCTTGGACGGGAATCACCGATTTGGTGGGGTCATACTTACTGTTAGTACTGGTATTATAGTTTCAAAAGCCAAGCTATTAATAGTTACCAGTACACTAACTAATACCTACTACCCAATCATAAATCGAGCGTCACTCAGAATCTTCACTTCCAAGCCCATCGCTTGTACCTCGTGCTTCCGCGCGTCGTACAAGTGGACGATGCCATCGGGATCTTGCGCGACGAGGAACAGGTCATGCTTAGTCTTGTCGTCGTCGTGGGTATTGGTCGTCGTCACATGGACCTTGTACCCGCCGCCGTCATTGTCCTCGGCCACGGTCTGCAGGGCGGCCAGGTCTGCGGCCGCCACAAGCGATCGGTTTGTTGACCGCTTGGCGATCCGCGGCTTACCGCCGGTCGCGTCGGTCGAGCTGGATCGCCCCACGTGGTGCTACCGCCGCTGCCCATGGACTTTGTGAGCATTGCGCGCACGTGTTTGGGGTCTTCTGGCAGGCCAAAGCACACAATGTGGCACATGAGAAACCACTGGACCGTGCACAGCGCCCTTGTCTTGACGACCACCGCTTGGTTGTTAGGGTAGTTGTCCAACTCGTAAAACGAGTAGCACATTTCACATAAAATCGACGACGAGTTAAACATGACTTGGCGACCGAGTGAGTTCCGCGAGAGGCGGCGCCACGTATGCCGGTTAATTAACCGGTCGATACTCAACACAACGACCAAATTCAAGACCATCACGACCACCATGCTTGGGAGCGATCGCACAAACCACGATTCGTAGAAGTCGACACGGATGTGGTCGAGATCGGTGGATGTCGACGACAGCGTCGCGCGGTCCGAGTTGCCATATTCAATGTACGGCGTGCGCAGCATGACAACCACGGCGCCCAGGTACAGGTACGACACGGAGCTAAAGTTGCAAAACCCCACGAATGCATTGGATCCGTTGAACCGGGACATGCTGACATAGTTGAGCACGATTTTGACAGCTTTGACCACAAAGCAGTTGACCCACAGCCATCTAAATTGCATGGCCATCAACTGCACGTCCATCCACGCGTTGTTCCCGTCCACGTTTCACGAGTACACGACCCGGGCGTACGTCATCGAGTTCTTCTCGTCCATGAGCACCGCCAAGACGTAGATCACGACAAAGAAGTCGCTGTTGAGGCAAAAGTTGGAAAACGTAAACGTGAGGCTCGGGTACCGGTACAGCGGCGGCGCCACAGTGTGCTTGATACGCTTCCACAGCGTGTCCACGGCGGCTACGTCGGTCCACCGCGTGGACTTTTTGCTCGTGGCGAACCCAGCGACGGCAAACAACAACGCGATCGTGCGGAGGTAGAGTGCAATGTCGGACGCCGACGATCTCGAAAGGATTAGGCCCAAGAGGTGGACTTCGCCAAGGTACGCGGCGCTAGACGTAATGACCAACGACTGGGACGTCGAGTTGACGTGATAAGTCGCTTGGCACACGTCCATGCCAAGCTCGACCACGGGGTCGCAGCCAGAACAAAACGCCCGCGATGCAAAGCGATACATGGAGATGTTGGCCGTGGCGGAGGCGCCAGCCACTGGGGGGAGGATCACGGGGGTTGTGAGGCGCATGTCGACGTCTATCCGTGCGGGAATAAACCCGAGGGTCGCAAGGGTCGTGTGGTTGGCTAGGGGGGGCGGGGGGGTGTCAGGGGCGGTGAAAACGTAAGCGAGGGTATGGCCTCGAATGAGCTGCATCTTGTTGGACACGACTCCTAGTCGCATTGGGGTGGCGTTTGCAGGTAGCGGGTACGTTTAGACGAGGGTGCCGCAGATGTCGTTGGCGCTGGTGCCGATATTGTGCGCCCCCGCGGTGAGGAGGTAGTCTGTGGGGCGCCGAAGGTACGACGCGTCCACAGTGTAGCGCAGCATGAACTGCCCGATTTCAGACAACGTGGCCACGTTCGCGTACGTGGGAAATGAAAAGTGCTGCGTGAGGTTGTCCGGGGTCGGCATGTTGTACAGTGGCGCGAGGAAGTAGTCGGCGTTGCCCACGTAGTTGTTGAGTTCCCAGTTGTTCACGATCACGTCCACGCACACAAAGAACAAGCTGGCCAAACTCAGCACCGCTTGAAAGTGCGTGGACATCCGCGTCATGCACAGACCGATTTGTTTCTTGGACGGCATGATGTGGCGGATGTCACACAGACGACTACAAGGGATGCGACTGTCTGCCTTGGCGCAATGTTAGCTGAGGGCTGATGATTTAATGGCGATCAAGGTGACAAGGCAAGTTGACTCGAAACTGCCCAAATTGATGGGTGCATGCGCTACAACTAGTCGAGAATGTAACGGCTGAGCGTTACCTTTCTCATATCTTATCGCCAATGAGTCTCCGTCCAATGATCAGATATTAGACGATGAATGCGACGCCACTCTGGTGGAATTCATAGCGTGATACCAGTCTCGTGGAATGCCTCCACCTAAATCGCGTTCGTGTATTCAATTAGTCGTGGAAGCTGTTTGAGTCGTCCCGAATGTAACGGTTAAGCGTTTCGTCACACCAGCAGTTACTTTGTACACGTATTGCAATCAATTATTCCGTCAGGAGTCCTTCGACGCCTGGAATTCACAGCGTAACCAGCCTCGTGTACTGTAATGTCTCCGACAAAAAGGCGTTCGTGTATTAGGATTGGTACTGTAGACTAATGTTGCTGGCCTTCCCCTGGCTGCTTTCTTGTACTGGTACGTACTGTAACGAGCACGTCAAGTCGCAGCCAGAGTGGGGATAGTCCCTGTGGGAAGGGGGCTTGCCTCACAAGAATAACGTGAGTAATAAATGCAAAGTAATTTCTTCGAGCTATGGCCCCAACCACTCTAATATCCGACGAAATCACCGCTTGAGCGGGAAGGAGTGGGGCTCAAAGATCCACCGTTTGCACCGTTTACTGGGGATGCACTCGACTACACTACTACGACGGAACAATCTATAAACAGCGCGTTTTGGCACGTGAGTTTGCAATACGAAATACTACAACAGAGTCCCAAAATGATGAAGTTCAACTGCATCGGAGTGTTGAGAACGATGGCACTGGTTGCATTATTGGTGTCCATTGAGGGGGCCAAGTATGATGGATAAGTTTAAACTGTACAATTGATCCGGGTAGATTATAACTACGTACCCCTAGTAGTACTCGAGTACTAGTACAGTACTACTGTACTAGTATTGTTAGAGGCAAAGAGTGTAAAACTTCGTTTGCTATGCCATCTACTCAGATGCTTCTCAGCCTCTTGTGGTCTGATACTAATGAGTCATCAACACACATGTCAGCGATGTTGACGCATGGTCACAGCTCTATTGTACCGGTACACCGGGGGTAGGACGGAGTCCCAGGGCTACGGGCGAAAAGGTGTATCCGGATGTGATAATTCCCTCATTGAAACTCAAAACAACAGTGTAACTGCTTTAATGAGGAAATTATTCTACTTCTAGCACTGTATGGACAGTATTTACTGTACTTCTTTCTAGCAGTGTCCATCAGGAAATGCTGGTCCAAGATTCAACTTCATCATTATATTTATACTAACTTTAAGAAGTAAGCCGCGAAGAGCTGGATAGTACACTCTATAGATTCCCGAAATGGGCTTAGGCGCCCAACTCGATTACGGTATCCAACACTAATGTCAGCGTCACCACCAACCAAGCTAGCCCCCAGCCACAAAAAATAATTCTTTCAGACCTGATAAAGAGGACTTCTGGGCTCGAGAGTGGAGGCATTTGCATTCAAAACTGACGTATAACCCACAGTACGCACAATCTCCGGTGCAGTGAGCTGGTTACTATAACCAGTAGTTTTAGTCCCGTTACCAAGCACTAGCAAGTGCACAATAAAGCCGTTTCATTTTCGAAACTGCAGCAGCCCCTCTCTGAAGACTACTCGGTTTCCGATGGAGATCCTCAGTGACTTGTACCTGACAAACCCGGACACGGACGAGATCAACCTCCAGGGCGCCAACTTGCGGTCGTTGGACGTGGAGCTCCCGTTGCTCAAGCAATTTCGCGAGCTCCGGCATTTGAACGTGAGCCACAACCAGCTCACGGAATTGCCCGTGGAACTGGCCGAGTTGTCGCGACTTGTGGCCCTGGACGTGTCGAGCAACTTGCTCGGGTCGTTGCATCGTGTCCTGCCAGTGCTCCAACAACTACCGTCCCTGAAAAGCCTCGGCATCACATTGGCCGATCCGGGTACCGAAGAGCCGTTGATTCTGGCGGCGTTGCCCAAGCTTCGCATCTTGAACGCCATGCCGCTTTTGGCTTCGTCGTTGTCCTCGTCTGCCGACGTACGCCGTCAAAGCACGACCCCCACGTTGCAATTCACTACTCCCGAGGATTCCCCCTTGCCCACCGTACGAAAAACACCATATTTTAGTACTGGTTCTTCTTGCCCCTGTCAATCCAATCGACAGGGGGGAAAAGATTTGAATGCACTTGCCGTATTATTTTTTATTCGAAATATGTTTGTGAATGTTGTGTAGGAGATGGGGAATGCAAACAACAATATGTTCACTTCTTAAATTTCTATACATATAAATATATATAAAAAATTCACGAATATATTCATATGTATTACGAACTACTAGTGTATGTTTATACATCGTAGGACCATGTTCAAAACGTAGCCAGTATTCTCCACGTGCTCAAAGGCATCGGAATCGCTGTGCCCCCCGGTTCCGAAGAAGACCAGCGTGTGTCGCGTATGTTCGAACAACAAGTGGCCTTGGTGGGCATGTCACTCAAACACGATATTCAACGTAACTTGCATTCATCGAGAACTTTTCCTTGACCTAGCACGTACTTATGTCATGTTACTGGCTATAGAAATCCCCCCAGAAGTTCATTGCCCCGACCTCCACACGACCGCGGCGGTGCTGCTAGCCAAGTTTAAGATTGTAGCCGCGTGCTCGAGCTACGCGACGCAGAAAGCGGGCGAGTGCGCACCAGAGCTAGGCCTCGCGTGCCAGACGTTGAGTTTGCTGCAACAAGACATCGTGTCGGCGTTGTTTGCGTTGACCCGGCAGCTTCTCATCGCACCACCAGCACCATCCCCCCACCCCCCTTCTTCGTCCCCTTCAACGGTACGTCCATCGTTGGCAAATTGTTTACTAACCAAACAAAACAGCAGCCAGCCATGGACTCGACCCAGATCAAGCAGTTGCTCGAAGTCGCGGAGGGCCTGGAGGCTGATGTCCAGAGGGGGGCTGCAGCGCTCGCCAACGAGCAGCGAAACTCTGCGCGACTCGAAGCGGAGATTCGAAAAGTGCGGAAGGACCTTGCCGCCGCCAAAGCAGCAGCAGTAGCATCCACCCCTCAGGCTCCGAGTGGTAGTCCTCTCAAGGATGGGTCGTGTCGGCCACCCCATTCGACCCTCCGAGGGGGGGCTTCGTCGTTAACAAAGGCAGCAACGTCGGGGGGTCGAGCCAAACCAATGGGAAATATCTCAAACAGCCTTCCACTTCCCCCAACCCCCAATCCCCCTTCTGTATCGGGACCGTCGTCCACGGCGGTGAAAAACCTCAGTTTAAAGCAACTCAAGGACCTCATCGAAGCCATCTATGCGTCGAAACGCAAGTATGACCAAATGAATGCTGACGCCAACACCCCCAAAGAAACCATGGAGCAGCACATGTACACGTATCTGAACCAGCGGTTTGGCTTGCACGCGTTGATTGTTGAATACGCCAGTGCCATTATGAAGGTACGTACTATTGATAGTAGAATCAGGTCTTCTCCTAGTAGTAGTAGGCTACTACTAGTAGTTCGTAGGACATATACCTATCAATATGGATAGGGATGTGCGCGGTATGGCACTTTGGACTGCGACGTCGCGACGTTTCTGCACTTGGTGCGCAACGAAGTGGACGAAGGGTACTTGCGTCTCAAACAAAAGCTCGAAGATACCGTCGTGGCGCTGTTGCGGGCGTTTCTAAGAGGACTGCATCCCCGTAAATCGGAAGGTACGAGACAAACATGCTGCTACTGTTGGGGTCAATCAATTTTGTGCTTACAGCCAAAATTTGGATATTTGTCCAAATCCATCGGTCAATATTTTGTACTGAATTGTGTATGTGATATTTGTGAAGCCATTACTCCCTGGCTCGCGACATTTGATTGGATATTATGAAATTTCTTGACGCTGATTGGCTAAATTATTCTTTCTATTTTCCATGTCCTGTCTTCGGATTAGTATTTGTTAGCCAATCACTATCGCAGCGAGGTTTACTGTGTGGCAGAATAATTGAAAATTTGAAGGAAATTCACAAGAATATCTGGTGGATATTTATAGGGACGATCACGCAGTTGGTGCACGCCAAGCTCACGTCGGCCACGACGTTGACACGGGACGAATGGCAGAGCATCGTCACGTACATGTACGACACGCACGACGTACGTATGCGACAGGGCGTTCGGGACGTGTTTGAAACGAATTGAGCTCGTAGACCACGACCATCTTGCAGTTGATTGAATCACGTTCGAAACACACCCGCGACATGGGCCTGGACTTTCAAGTGTTTCGCAAGGTTTCACTTTTCTCAAATGTCATGCATGTCGCTCATGATAGGGATATACATAGATTCTACTCAACTACCAGCTGCACGGGCGACTCAAACTTCTCGCAGAGTTCTGCCGCCAGTTCGAAGGCGTGGACGTCGATCGAGTGGGCATCCTCAAGCGAGTACATATGTGCAGTTGTAGTGACTGACTATACATACATACATTGGTATCATGACGATATGAACGTAGCGCGATTTTATCGATTTGATGCTAAACCTGACGCCATACAAGGTCCGTACTTTTGTATCGTTTTATTACCTCGCTGTGTACAAGTTTTCTCCAGTGCATAACATTTACTAGACCCAAGACGAGATTGCCCTCGTCATCCAGCAAGTGGACCCCCATGAACACGACTGCATTACGTTTACAGACGTACGTGGATGTTTATACCGAGCGTGAGAGTGGGCTAATCGTTGTGAACCCTGTGATTATGTTTGAAGGCGGTGGAAGCGTTGTTCAAGGACATCCGCACGTTGCATCAAAAGGGTCTGGCAAGTAGCGCTGGCTCGGGGGGTCGGGCGCACGGCCAACCCCCTCCGCCGCCCCCTCCGCTAGCCCTTTCGTTTGACCATTAGACAGCAACTAAGCCCTGTACTTGAAGCTGGGGCGTAAAGTGTCAGCCGCTGCAATGTGTCAGTGTTAACATGGGGTGAATGAAAAGTAGCCGCCGTCGTCTATCCGAGTCACGTTGTTGCTTCCGGATGGTGCCGCGTGTTGCAAAAATGCCCAACTTCAAGTTGCTGTTATCCGGATATCATGATCCCTCCAAAAATGTATTCGTTTGAGGCTGCCAACCTTATATCCACCACACAGTACCACGTCTAGCTTAATCTATCATGCGACGAATGCTTACGTTGGACCACGCAACGTACAATGGTTATCGCACATGTCGAGCAATATAATATATTTTTATCCGGATTTCGTCGAGTTGATCGTGCTCAGATTGTAACTCACGTGTGCGATACCTACCCATCCGACAGTCGGATATTTGCTCGCTGTATATATCTGTACTCCATCCAATAAAGAACCTACACCACAGCGGATACATATTTAGGATGGGGAGTCTCCAGTGGATATTTTGGTGTGTCGGCTACAAGCTTACGCAGTAAAACCCAGCGGTGGTGGGGGAAATTCCTTGTCTAGAGGGGCCATAAAAAACTTATCGTGTTGTTCTCAGCATTGAAGTTCAACGCTGTGATTTCGAATATTCTTGATCCCTGTTAAGTGCGCTTGGATCTGTCACATGCGTCGCCGGCGCTGGCCCAATCACACGCGGCGTAGTCCACGCAACTTCAAGTGAAATTTAATTCGCCGGTCGCAATGGACTTGATGTTTGTATACCGAAGGAATAAAATCAAGTTGATCGCGGACACCGCCCTTGATATTCTATTGCATACAAAGATCCAGTGCAAGGTTGAGAATATATTACATGATAGTCGTCTATTTTATTATTGCGATAATTTGTTTCCTCTGCTTCATTCTTACATTTCCATTTCGCCCATGAAACGAAGCGCTGCCACCGCGATGAAGCGTTCGTATAGCTGCATGGACCTCGCCGCCCTTGAAACAGATCCTGCCATGATGGGATCGGTATGTCCGAAGAAACGACTTACGATACCCCCGCGGTACAGAAGTCTGTCGTCGGGCCCGACAGCCCGCGAAAAGAACCTCAGCCAATGGCTCCAGGCGTACGATTGCATGACGCTGAGCCTTCCGATCGTTGAATCCTCGTCCATCGAAGATGTGCTGTGCTCTTCCAGCATTTCGTCGGTGTTGCCATTCGTCCCATCCACACCTACCAAGGACCAGCCAGACGCCATACAGCTCGAGCTCATCGACTTGTGGCAACAAGCCTGGATAGAGGATGACCATCCACAGGACCACACGAGCCGCACTCTATGAAGCACCCAAGACCGCCCATTATTTAACCGCAACACTACACCCCTCCATGGCAGTAGTATTCCACACTGGCCCGACTGCCTCACGAAACACACGTCCAAGCTGATTGTCCAGCGTGCGCCGCGCCGTCTTATTTAACATGACAACTTGTCCGCATTCCCTCTAATACTATGTTGTTCCTGCGACTGTTATTGACTTACATGTCTTGGGCCTTCCTTCATGCTCACGACAACGCAAGGTTCTCTTACACCTTGTGTGACACATCCGTGTCACGTAAACACCCTTATCCCATTGCCATTTTCGCAAGTCCGCTCGAACGGTACTGTATCCATGCATGCTCGTCAGACCGATCGTTCCTTCCTTCAAAAAGTCGGCGTCCGCCGCAATATCCGAGGCAACATGCCCCTCATGTGTCGCTAGGCTTTGTCATTGTGGCGTCAGTTGATGCGGAGTGGCTCCATGACTGCGGTGATTCGCTGCATGTAACGATGATTGGTTGAATTTGAGAATGTAATTACTTTAGAACAGTTCAGTTATTCCACATGGTGGTAATCATTTCCGATAGAATGAGATAGATATAAGGTAACTTATCTCCAGATGGGACGAGCCGATTATTTCTTGATGACTGGTCGTGCTATGTAGCTGGGTGCATGGCTGAGGTGGAAAGTGTGTCATATGTGTGGCCACCACGCTCGCTCTACATTATCGTAGTTGAGGGCTCACTGTCATCATGTTGCGGGGGATGTTCTGTCAGTTTGTGCTGTAAGTGGAATACTGTATGGCTGGGGTGAAAAAAATCTACTGTACATTCCAAGCGGACGCCACACACATTACACCATCGCTGACGTGGCTGCTTCAACTGTACAACGATACTAGTATGTACCACGCACGTCAAACTCGAACTACAAGAGCAGCTGAGTGTTTCGTGGGTTAACGTTAGCACCATAAACTCGAAGTAGTGTATACTATCTAGTACGTAGTACAGTATATATCAGACAAGCAAGGCAATGATGCGTTCGTCACTTTGGATTTTTGTGCGTTTTGACGGGCATATCGGTTGTCGCTGTCGGGCAATGGGTATTTATATCCCTGCTGTCGGGTATTAGGGATGTTGAAGTTGAAGTTGAATGTGTACAAAATGCGGTCGTTCATCATCTTGAAGTTCAAGGTCAGTGTGGACAATCTATGTCGTCCTATCAGCTGAAGAACTATTTCATACACGCAGACTAGAGATGGAGATTTCCTTGGTATTTAATATAATATGTTCTGCAAACGGAGATCGAATGGAAGGATATGGACAAGCCTCGGAATTCTGAACCGGCGCGCCACCTCCGGCGCGTCACAAGGCCACTCCGTGGTGTTGTAATGGTATTTCAACTACGTCGTCGCACTTAGCCGACGCAACGTCACTCACTCCAAAGTAGCCATTGAAATTGGCATTTTTTGTTGGGTTTAATAGACAAATACAGAAATCACGCATTGGTAGAAATAAAATGTTTAGAGCCATCCCATTGGATGAAGCATTTTAATAGATACCAGTGTATATCACCAATCTTTCTGTTACTATTAATAGTATGTTGGTTGCAAGTACCTTCGAAAATCCCACACGGACGACTGTCGGCATGATGGCCGCCATCGCATTCGGGTTGAGGCCGTAAAGAATGTTCGGGGAGGTACTGGTCTTGTGCATGTGATCAATCTGCTTGAATCACAAGTACCTGGTAGAGAGACTGCGACATCCCAGTTGGGACTGTGCTCCGGCTATGGTGACGGCATTTCGGCGGTGCACCAGAGCAAGCGTGTCTCGAAGCCGAGTCTGCGCCAACGTGAGAAGCGATGAACGATGAAATTCTTAACCTCGATCAACCCACATGGGTATGTGTATACATTTGAGGGGTTATGTCTATTACGCAAACGCCCGACCGCTGTTGATGGCTTCGACTTCGTCCTTGGAAATGGGTTTTCGCGCAAACCGAGCTGGGATGTCGAAGAAGGACACGACAGACGCACTGGAGGACGGCGGCACCACGAGGGTTGACGCAGGAGCGGCAGTGGAATGATCATGGGTCGCAGCAGCATGCAACAAGGAGCGTTTGCCTAAGAATGCAATGCGGGGCACGCGGTGGTGGGACGAAGATGAAGCGGCAGTGGACTTGGCAGGGACGACCGCCGCGACAGGAACGGGCGTAGCAGCAGCGGCGGACACTGGAGTCGCAGAGACCACAGTGGCAGAGACTTCGCCGTCGACGACAAAAAGGTCCTTGCCCACTTGGACATCTTCATCCAAAGTTGCCAGAGTCTTCACGAGGGTTCCCGCCACTGGGCTCATCACATCGACACTGACCTTGTCGGTTTCGAGCACCATCACAACTTCGTCGACGTGGATGTGCTCCCCAATCTGCTTCTTGATCTCGACAACAGTGCCTTCAGAGATGGAGTCGCCCATCGAAGGAACCTTGACGATATGTTCTGCGGCAAGGAGCGGTGTGCTGTGGAAGGCCCGCGCCACGATGCAGCGGTGGACGGCGAGCGTGCGGCGGAGCATGTCAGTCTGTCGATGATGAGTGGGGTGGCGTACACGCAAATCGTTTACAATCACTGGTGATTTGTATACGGAATTAAACGTCGGAATAAAATCACCTTGATTGCGTTAAAGGATGTGTCAATGCGGTCAAACCGATTCATTTTAACGAGACCAGTGTTGAAGAATAGGTTAAAGTATGTGATTCGTCCCATTATTTAACCGGGCGATATTTATCCGGAATTCTATGCCAACACATTTCAAATTTCGATCAGACAAGCATGCATTAGGCGGCGTCAGCGTTGATCTGATCTAGGTGGGCAATGAGGTTGTCTAGGCCGAGCAAGAGCCCGTCATCTGGGGTGACAAGGCTGGGGTCGTGATGGCAGTTGGCAAAGTCGATCAATCGCACATCCGTCCGCACGGTCGTCGACGTTACGGCGAGGTCCCCTTCGTACACGAGCAAGAGCGACGCTCCCCAGAATCGAATGCCGGTGGTGCGTTCAATCTACTCCATGGGAATGAGGTTCCTCTAGGTAAAGAACTCCTTCCATCTACCACTGCTTGAAGTTCCCGCAGTCGCGACGCCAACTGTTCCACAGCATCTATTCGAAGCGCGTCCCCCGTCGAAAGAAACTACAATGAAGCACAACGTCAGCCTCGTCGCTCCACCACCATCCATCACCATAGGACTATGAATCGTCCTCACTACCATCGATCAGGAGATTTCATACAAAGTGGAGAGCCGGTGGAATGTCTCCAGGTTGCAAAAGTCGACCCCAATGCTTGTCTCGCAACACATATCGCCCGTCCGCAGGTTGATAGATCTACGAAGCACAGCCACATGATACACAACCCTTTACACGTCATAACGTACCTGCATACCACAGAGCCGAAACCCCAACGTCGCCGACGTGGTCTTGGCACATTTGACCGAGTGACTTCTCGCTTTCGCGGGAGATGCGTCTGCTCCTACAGATGCGTGCAATCATCGCACAACGTTATGACATCATTTCAGAAAGGACGTGGCAGCATTACCGTGCTGTCGAGTGCCCATCTTGATGTCGAGGACGCACGGCCGCGTGTAGCCTTGGGTGAGATCGCCCAACACGAGGTATTCGCAGAGAAAGGACGATTGGTCTCGAACAATCTCTTTGTTCCACAGGATCAAACTGACGCCGCGGTGGTCCATGGACCGACTCGGTCGTCGCGTGGCATTGGATGTGGACGACGACTTCGTCGATGCGACCGAATCCGAGTTGGTGCGGTCAGCTACGTTGTCACTGCCGTTGCTGCTTGGATGCAGATCCACGACGATCGTGCCAAGATACGTCGGGACAAATGGAATGAGCTGGGGATACGTCGATGCTAGTCCCTGGTAAAACTGGAGTTCAAGGGGGAGTGCTGGTTTACAGACTTCACCAGGGGCACTGCGCAGAAGCGGTTTGTGTCCGCCTACCTAAGGAATCAAGCATGAAAACGGTGGTGGAATGGGAACCTGGACGGACTTGATGCTTGTACAGGTAGAACTCGGTACCCACGGACGAGCGTGCGATGACGCGGGACGTCAACGAGGGTGCGTTCGGAGATAATGCTTCTAGATTGTCGGACGACGTAGATAAAGATGTCTGTAGCTTGGACATCGGTGCCGCCGCTGCCGTCGTCGTCGTCGTGCCATCCGCCATCCAGATGAAGAACACTTGAATTTATCGCATGTCCTGTGGCCGTTTCGAAACAGAATGTGCGTCCTTGACGTTGATTGGCTCGCCGACACCTTCAAAAAACCTAAATTATATTGAATAAATTCTCGCAATAATTACGCAAAAAAGTGTAGTATGGGACTGTTGCAAAGCGAATCAACTCCGTGGACTTACTGTGTGTGCTAAAACCCTCAGTTTACAGTTAATGTGATCAGGCAATGTTACTTATAAGGCAGTACTGGACCCCATTGTGATGTTGTTGTTTCCTCTACTACTACGTAGTAGAACGGATTGTTGTTTGCAATACAGTTCGTCCGCTGAACGATCGTCCCATAGGTTCAACACGGGTAGCCATCCAAGATCGGTTTTTTTTGTTGAAGACATTGTCATTTATGGTTCTTTTACAGCTACTGTATACAGTACAGTATGTACTTCGAAGAAATCTCTACCAAATGTATTGTGGTGTCCAGAACCAAATACCCTTATACCCAATAACGAATGAAATACCCGACGTATGGTGTTTCTATCAATGTTCTAGCGTTGTGTCGCTAGCAGCGACATGTCGTCCTGACTTGAGGTCACACTAACTTACGGGAATCCAAGACAACTTGCTTGGGGGTCAAGGACAAGACAACTGCCGCGTCCATGGCTTCCATGCAGCGCCAGCTCTCCACACTATCCACTTCGCCGCAGCAACGCCAGCCTCAGCATCGCGACCGCCGACGTCCTCCTCGGGCACCCCCTGCCACACGTGACAATGGGCCCACGTCGACGCCACAGAATGGCTCTCACATGTAACACGAACCTGTCGTGGTCGATCGCGACTTTGCAATGATTTTGGAACGCATCAAGTATTGCGTCGAGACAATTCAAGGCATTCGCATGGAAATCGAAGGGATCATCATCCCCCGAAAGTCACCGCCACCAATAACCCACAATTAAAAATGCATATTCACATACGTATACAAAAGGGGGTTCCACAATACGCTTCACATTGATAAAGAACATGATATTGTTGTGTTTATTGAATGGAATCGACACAACCAAATGTACAGAAGAATCGAGCCAATCAGATTGCAGGAAACCATCAAATTAGGGTGTGACTTCAATTAGTGTGATACCAATCGCCACATACAGGAGAGGTACAAAACTCAGTACTAACAGTAAGATGGATCTGCAGCAACAATACAGTAATAAAACTGTGACCACCTGTTCGAAACGCGTTTTAAACCAGTGAGTAATAATGCCATTGACAGATTGAATCGCAAAAGATTGTGACGGTTCAAACCCAACGCAAGTCTTCGCGATGGGCTGGGCACTCCCACCAACGTATTCAGCGTTCAAGCGCGAGAGGTTGCTCCATGGCTCCAGCATCATTCCGCCCTTCCTGTGTGAGTCATGCATCATACCATCCTTGTTGAAAACGTCCACGGGTAACTCCACCGATGCGGACCATCACAAGGCCATCACCCTTGACCGCATGCTTCGCGCAGAGGCAGTCGACGCCAAGCGGGAGCAATACCGACAGAGTAAACAAGCTGCTATGGCCATCGAGCGAAATTTGCAGTTGCGAAAGCATGCGGCCCGTGTTTTGCAGAAGTGGCTTCGAATGTACATGGAGCCCCGCGAATGCGAGCGACGTGCCGCGTGCACTCGCATTCTTCGATGGTGGCGTCGATGGAAACTACTTGCGGCGCAACTGCCACGAAAAGAACTGCACATGAGCTACATGCAACCAAAGGATTCGCTGTCTCATTCCCCACGAATCCACTTGCAATCAACTGAACGACGCTCGCAGATAATTCCGCCGACACCAAGCACGATAGAAGCCCCTCGAACACCCAACATCAACCACACCAGCCAGTCGCTACCACCATCGGCCAATCCACATGGCCTTGTTCTGGAACTCTTGGCCGTGCGCGGTTTGGTGGTGGCTTCCACGTGGCAGTCGCTGAGCGCCGAGGTTTGCGCTTTCCACAAGGCGTCCCCCCACACGACCATCCAGTAGGTCCCCCGTTTGTCTATTTCTGACATATGACGTTATCTCGGAGGTAGGACGAGTCACATACCGTGTAACGGGGGCGGGTTCGAGTGGACGGGGGAAAATGTGTTGGCAGTTGGCCAGCACCGTCTCAACTTGACCGAGTGGCATTGCAGTGTCAAACTCTATCGGCACGGCGGTCAAATGGGGGCAAAATGCCTTGGGCAAGTCCACCTCCCCGCCGACCTTCTTGTAAGATATACCTTGGAATACATCATATGACTAATATATACGCTGTCACAGGAAAGCTCGTTGGCCAAGCATCGCAACCTCACGCAATGGTTCCCGCTGGAAAAAGCAGTTCCAGGAGACGTCGTGCGCGGCGAAGTCAGAATGTCGTTTCACTACCAAGAAGAAGTCGCCGCCATCACTACTATTGAGACCATACCTCCCCCCAACACACAACGAAAGCAAGTTGCATCCATTGATGCATATAGCAGCGACATTCCTTTCCGAAAGAAAGAGCGGCAATCTCGTCCTGTACGGTAACCATATCTGTTGTAATAAAAACAACCGTTGTGCGTCAATACATCTGTTCGTTTCGTAGGGACTACCGTCCCCCCAAACTCATGAACCCAAAGCCAGACCTGACAAACGTACACCAGCCGCTACTGTTGCAACGACTGTCTCCCCCGAGAAGAAGAAAATGTTGATGTCGAATTCCCCCTCCAAGATCCCCGACCCCCTGGCGTCCAATCAAGCTATCGCTAACAATGACGATAGTAGCAGTAGTAGAGACGTCGACACGCCGACCCCACACCCGTACTTAAAGCGGAAACCATATCGCATCCGCTTTGAAAAGCTCGATTGGTCCAGTGTTGCGTCCAAGACGGATAGCAACGTTCCAAAAGCAGTCCCCCAGCAGCCACCTACCCCAGCCCCCCCTTCAGAGCAAGTTCCAGAGAAAACGGGGGCGAGCTTGGAGCAACTCATGTCAGCGCACAACCAACGGAACCTCGCGCTCGTGCACTTGAAGCAAAAAGCCGAACTGCACGCGATTTTTCACCTCCCGCCTCCCCCCTCAGTCCTTCCGACGCTCACTCGTCCTGCATTGGGTCAGCTACATCGCCTTCCCATAGGGGACACCACAAGGCGACTCGAACGACACTACGACCTCCTGCGACAAAAGTGGGGGTTGTAGATAGATCTATGCAGTTACAGTATATGTAGGCTCGAGTACTCGAGAGGGTGTGCAATACTTGCCCACGTTTTCATAGCGATAGCAATATAAATAAAATTGCCGAAAGTAATGTGTCGAGCAAATCCCTTGCAACGTTAGCTTATCAAGTTTAGTTCCTCAACCTGATGGAATACTATTAATAGTACTGGGTATTAACGTAAATGACCAATTTATGATCACTTTTTCGGAGTAGTCACCGTAGAATTCGCATATCTCGGCTCACAGGACGACTTTTCACATTTTGTGAAGTGATTCTTAACAACCGAACACAGAGCTTTCACTTCATAATCAAATTATTACATTTGAAGATGTACGTTTAATACAAAAAGCCGACTTTCCAAGCAAGTTTACTCTATTTTTGAGGACCAATTTATGATCACTATTTTAACCTTGAACTGTGTATACCTTGATGCATACAAATTATGCGGATAGGGTATGCATTATGGTCAGGTAATATATAAGTTTACAAGGTTATGTATTTCAAGAATATTTGCTGGGAC